GCTGCTCCCATGCAGCATACATTCTGTTATAGTCTTATATATTTATTATATTGCTGCATCTGTTGCTGCTTGAAGTGCCTTAGATTTTGTGTTATCTACTTTATATTTCATTTGTATTTTGTGGCATTCATGTGGACAGCAAAGTAAGAATTTCATTGTACAGGGAAACACGTTTCCTAACTGTGCATATGACAAAATAAACACTTTGAACTTGAATTTTGAACTGATCGGTGTATGTTTAATGGGTGTGTTTAATAAAGACATGAAAAGATCATGACTGTGTTTTATCAGCTTAAAAATGTTGTGTTTGTTGATATTTGTGACTTTGGTGAAGATCTGATCACATTTCATGACCAATTTATGCAGAAAACCAGGAAATTGCAAACAGTGCCATTAGTTTTTCTTACAACTGTATAAGCACATATTACCCACTCTTTGTTCCTTGGATGTGAGTTGCTTGAGGGTTGTCTTTTGTACTGTAATGCTAATTTTGAGAGGGAATGCAAAACGTGGTCACAGTATAATCAGAAAGGGTCAATGGACAAAAAAGATGTTAGACATTTATTTACTGTTCACTGAGTGTCCTCACAAAGACAGCCATGTCTGCATGCATGTGTGTGTTGCATGCTTACCTCCAGCCAGTGCTTCTTCTCTGCTGCTGTCATCTTCAGCAGGCTGTCGAATATTCCAGGAAGTCAGAGGCAGTGTTTCAACATCCTGCAGACTGCTGACCTTCAACATGTCCATATGGTTTCTCTGACTCTCATATCTTGGAATGAAGCAGCTTTTCCCCGATTTAAATGTGTCTTTGATGATTTCGTCAGTGCACACTTCATCAATGGTGCTAAGAAACACTGCAATTCGCTTACAGGACACATACTTGGGATGTCTGAACAGCTGAAAAAAATTACAGAAGGAAATGTTATAATCTGTGACAGGAGCCTATGAGCAGAGGTCAAATAAATAATATTTACATAAAAATCAAGATTCTAATCTTCCATGTCTAATTCACAAATAATAAAGCTTCATTCTTATGTATTAATAACATAGTTTTTACTCAGAACTTTATTAGAGCTGAACAGCCAATCAACAAAATAATGAGCAAATTAAAACAATTGGTCTTTTATCAAGAAAAAAAAATCATTAATATGTTTTAATTTCAGATTCTAAATTGTGAGGATTGCATGGAAAACATTTTGCACTGTGAATCACAATGGAATCAAATCACTTGATTTCTATATCCACTCCTTCTAGCCTCCATGTAAATGTCTGATTTGTTACATCTTTTGATTTCTACTCAGTTAAAAAAAGATAAAAATGCATCCAGTTTTCTCAGGAAAATTAAAACTAAACAGGTACATAAAGAATCTCATCTGTATTACTGCACAACACACACAAACATTACAGAGGCAATGCACATATTTAATACACTGGTGCTTTTTGCACTCAGTGTAGAACCAAATGCTGCTTGTGTCTTACAAACAGATGTGTTCCCCACAGAAAGGCAGCCTTATCTCTCCTTATACAGACAAACATGTCAGTGTACACAACTAAGGTAGACAGGCTCAAAGCTGAACCAGAAAGTGGGTCTGTAAACTTTGATGCATGCTGACAATAGCCAACTATTGTTGTTCACCTTTGTCTTCTCATCTGAACCCAGAGATTTGTTTCCAACGTGTCTGATCATATGACCACTCATTTTTTCCTTCTAATGTGTGGTGTCACTGCATTCCCAGATCTTAGCAGCTACTGTGACTTGCTGAGGAAAATATTATTGGTATAGGCCTAAATGAAGTACCAAACTACACAGGTAAAGCCCAAGTTGTAATAAACTGAAGCCATTTTTAATGACTATGTAGAACTTTTGCCCACTCAGTTCTCTCACCCAGTGCTCAAAGTGGGCGGTATGTGATGGTATGCAGTACACGTTTTACTCTTTGGCGTTCCAGGACTTCTTCTTTGTGAGAAGTGCCGGTGCTCTTTTCTGCATTCTCCATGGTCCCGTGGTAGGGGTAGGTGGGGTAGCTACACCAAAGACACCCAAGCGCCAAAACAGGCGTTTTGGTGATCCCAAATAATCAATAATCATAATCAGTTTTGTTATATCAGTTCAAATCAAATCTAAATTTATTTATATAGGACTTCAAAACAATGTCTTGTTGACCAAAGTACTTCACAAAAATACTAAGGCCGTACCCGACTAAATATTTTGCCAGTCAACTGTCCAACTATCTGTTCTGTTTTTTATGCCTCCATGCTGCCGATAGCCGCAGCCAGAGGCATTATGTTTTTGGGCTGAGTGACCAGCCGGCCGGCCCATCCTTGTGAACGTGATATTTCAGGAAAGCCTTGAAGGAATTTCTTCAAATTTGGCACAAGTGTTCACTTGGACTCAAAGATGAACTGATTAGATTTTGGTGGTCAAAGGTCAAGGTCAGTGACCTCACTTCTGTCCCATACCTGTGAATTTGACTGGTTGGTGGAAACATATAACACACAGTATAGATACCGGCTTTCATCAGAATTAATTTGACAGTTCTAGGTGAAAGGTTATCCAATCAGAAGCGTTG